ATGGTGTTTACAAATGAATCCCCACATGGGCACAATGTGTGAAGCCCATTTCTGGTGTCCCCCGCCGTTATCTTGCTGGAATATTGCTGAAAGCGGCGTAAAACCAAACTCAGTCAGTCAGTTGTTTGCACCATAACCGAGCATGGAATTGCGTCGCTGTGATATAACTTGAAAACTGTCCAAAGCGGCGTTAAAATCAACTCTCTCATTTAAGTGTGGGTTGGGTTTTACGCCGCTTTTAGCAATATTCCAGCAATATCATGGCGGGGGACACCATAAATGGGCTTCACACATTGTGCCCATGTGAGGATTCGAACCCGAGCCGACGCTTTAACCATTAGGCTACCCCTACGCCCCTCTCTCATTTAAATGAGAACACAGAGCTACAGATAACTTTTTGGGTCATTGAGTTATGTATTCGCTTGTGTTCATCTCAATTGGGTATCCTAATTTTCTTTTGAGTAACCAAATAAATTGTACTCACCTCACTCAAACTCAATTGGGTATTTTGCCATTTTGTCATTTTCAATTAATTAAAAAATATAATAAAGTTTAAATGTTAGTGTTTGTTATTGATATTGGATCTGTAGTATGAGAAACGATAAGAAAGACTGCAAGTTGTCAAGTTCATGTCCTGAAATAGAACCTGTCAATATACTTCGGTAGGCAAGCTAAGATTACCACTGATAATATGTCTGCTGCAACTACATCCACCACTATTTATGGCTACTTTTCAGTAGTAATAGTAGCAGCAGTAGCCTTGTTTGTTTGCTGCTTAACGCTGCACTATTTCAGCTTTATGGTGGCTCTGTAAATTATCGAATATGGACCAACCAATCCAGTGATCAACGGCATGTGTATCAACGCAGTTGGGATACAATGACAGGTGTGAACCAAGTCACCAAGCCTGACGACCCGATCCCATTAGTCGCCTCTTACCAGGCATGGGTAGCTGAAGATCAAATCCAACCCGGATCTTCGCCGATAGCATTAGTTGTTGTTGTAGCAGAAGGGGTATGAGCAGTAGTTGGAACAGTGAAACAAATGCACGTGCGGTCCGTGATGAGCGTTCACTTAGACCAACTCTACTTGTTCTCGGTGTTTCATTTGATGTGCATACCCCCTTGTAATACAAACCAATAATAGCGATTTGAAACTATGATAGTTTGTTAAACAACTTTTATCCTAAGTTGAATAAAATTCTAAGATTTTAATGTTCATTTGGCAAGGTAAAATTATGAGGATTCGCTCTCGTAATTCCACTTTATCCGATTTACCTTTTTGTTTAAATTGAAATTCATCGGTACGTGTTCACTGCAAACAGACTATAATAGAGGCTATCTTGTGGTGTTCAAATCAACAACGCCGTGAAAGTTACTTCCCTTTATGTATTTTAGTCCCGCTTCGTTTTCAGTCAGAGACGTTAGCGGCTCAACGAAACAAGCTACAGCGCTAAAGTACTGTCGGAAATAGAAAAAACCCTGTTTCTTTCACATTTATCTCTACAATTTATGTATATGGTGTAGTTGATATGTGAAAGTGTGAAATATCTGTAAAACTAAGTTCGACCTAACTACAGTCTAAATGTGAAAAAGGACTTTACTGAGGAGAGATTAGTGCAGAAATGAGCAATGCTGGGTTTTTAAAGTCAAAAGCGACTCAATTGGAACAGACCATGTCTTTATGAAAATTAGTCTGCGGTGGTATTGTATTACAAAGGACACTTTTTAAATGCCCACTTTGACCTAGCTTCATTATAAATGATAGCTGACGTAAAACATAATAATTTCCATGCCGAAACTATTAAGGATGTAGCTACTATGGAGTCTCACTATCAATATAAAAAGAAACAGATAGGAGGGGTCGTCTCGAAAGCAAAACGAGGACGGGTGTCGCAGACGGTGGTTGGGGTCGGGCTGGTGGATATCAGCTAAGATAAAATAATCCGTTAGGGGAAGTAAACTGGGGAAGTAAACGGCATGTCATAACAATTTTCAAATAATATCCAGTCCTGTCGATCTTCGGGTGGTCTATATATTTTGAGACATTTAATACGATGCTTTTCTATGGTTATCAGGTACCATACTCTTTTACATATCTCAATATATAGTTTTTGAAAGACAGACACGTAAGATGGTAATCAATAGATGGGACAGTCAACACACATGAAAAAGCACAAAATATCTTTGAGATGACCCCTTGTGCCTGTAGGTAGTACATTGCATTTCACGAGAGGTGAGTCGACGGTCCGTCGTCATACCTGGCTGAGTGACCTAATTGCCATCCATAGTCTGATCTATTGTTAGAAAATTAGTATTTTTTGTAAGTTTTGCCCGAGTTTACAAGTAAACATGCTTTTCTGGATATCCTATTAAGCATCCCACTGAACACCCAGTTAGGTCGATGTGGGTTATTTCGACATATGATATTTGCAGTTGTATACATGTTAAGGATACAGAGTATCAGCCTAAAACATTTTTTTTCTATTTCCGACAGTACTTTAAATAGTTATTTAGTTCATCTGAACATAGTTTTATCCTCCCCAACTGAGGTCAAACAGCCATAATCCCTAGGACAGTAAGAACACCGATGTAGTCGCTATTTCCCCCATGAAACCACTGTTAACTAAAAATGGGTGCGGTTATTTTTGGAATCATACTAAGACCATTAAACTTAATAGTAATTTAGTATGGTTTTACGCCGCTTTTAGCAATATTCCAGCAATGTCACGGCGGGGGACAACAGAAATAGGCTTCACACATTGTACCCATGCATCGAACCCGGGCCTTCAGTGTGAAGAGCGGACGCTTTAACCATTAAGCTACCCCACCGCCCCTAATCGTGATAGGGGTTGGCACTGATGGTCAAAGCGCTCGTTCGTCAACGGTCCAGGTTTTGTTTCCATTAAGGAATAACGTGTAAAACTCATTTCTGTGTCGACTGTCGTGTGAAATTTATTAACAACATAATAACTCAAGTTAACTCTGTGGCTTGTTAAGACCTGAATTCACGATGAAAACACCTCCCTTTTGCCATCCGCAGTAACAATTTACATTCCTGAAGCGGTGTTCAACCGTAAGCCGATGTTGCCTGTAGGTATATAAGGTGTCTAATACTGCCTATAGAGGTAGCGAGGGGACATCGTTTTAATAATAATAATAATAATAATAATGTGGGTATTTATATAGCGCTACATCCAGGTAAAACTATATACAGAGAGACAATTGAACATAGAAAGTCTAGTAATGGGCAAGACGAAAAAAGTGGGTTTTTAGAGACGATTTAAATATGTCCAAAGATTCAGCATTCTTGATGTGAGTGGGCAAGTTGTTCCAGAGACTGGCGGCTGCGTGTTGGAATGATCTTTTCCCATAGGATGAGAGTCGAACTTTAGGAATGACAAGTAGCTGGTGATTCTGGGATCGTAATGGTCGGGTTGGAATGTACTGACACAGAATACTGTCAACTTCATTTACGGCCACGCGTAGTCAGATATTACCGCATTTTCGTCTTGCAATAGTTCTTTCGGGTCTCGTCTAGTGCTATCACCTTCTCCTCTGTGTGTATATATAATTTTATGTCTCGTTTTATCGTTTCATTCCCATCTTAACAAAACCAACAAAGAGATCGCTTCTGTGACACAAACTTTGATGTCAATTGTATAAATCAGTCCACTTGACTATCTACTGAGTAAGACAGTCTGTTATTTACCGGTGGACTGTTCTTAGTCTATTGTAGTGAATATAAGCGTGTTAAGCATATGAATTTATAACGGACGAATTGATGTATCTAATGTAATATTCGGGAGTGAGTATTACCAATACTGAGAGATTTTACAACCGCTTCGGATAATGCGACGTACTGGACTGCCGCGAAGAGGCGCTTTTGTTGAAACGTTGATTATCATTTAACGTTCCCATTACCTGTCGTATTTTCCGAATATACAGAACATTAACCAAAGGATCATGACTAATTTTGGGGATATTTTTCTCAGGGTATATGAAAGCGTTTGACCAAATTACTTATTTCCGAGGAGTTATGATCCACAAGATGTTGTCCACTGTATGTTCATATTGGTGTGTATCACATTCATGTTTACATTAATGCATATGGAGCAGATAAGTATAATGTATGGATAATTGGTCTGAATTCTCCAATCCCAACAAGATATCTCTTTGTGAGAGGGCTATGGGGTAGCCTAGTGGTTAAGGCGTTCGCTCGTCACGCTCAAGATCCGGGTTCGATCCCCACATGGGCACATTGTGTGAAGTCAATTTCTGGTGTCCCCCGCCGTGATATTGCTGGAACATTGCTAAAAGGGGCGTAAAACCCAGCTCACTCACTCTTTGTGCGAAGATTTTGGGACACCTCGTTTCCATTCTGCCATACAGCGTCACGGTCTAGGCTTCAAGTATAAGTTTTACATAGACGATCTTCCAGTCGACCGGCGCAATTCATGTAAACCACAAGTACGATGTTAAACGTCTTGCTGTGAATCGACTTGGGTTCGAATCACCAACCTTATATCTCTTTCAACAGACACTCCATCTAGCAAAGATTGTAGCAAGGTAGCATCACACTATGTGTATTTACATTTCTGATCACTGTTGCTGGAGGGATGGGACTTTGTTTCATACAATTCCGCATTTTGCATATTCATACACAAACCACACGTGAAGATCCTGGTTAGAATTGATCTTCAGCAACCCATGCTTGTGGTAATAAGCGATAAACGGGATCGGCTTTTCAGGCTCGCTGACTTGGCCGACACAATCATGTTATCTTATCCAAGTTGCGTAGAGCGATGCTCATGGTGTTGATCATTGGATTGTCTGGCCCAGACTTGGTTATTTACAGACCGCCACTATATAGCTGGAATATTGCTGAGCGAGGCGTAAAACTCAACTCACTCACACTCTCCACGTCTGTAAATAATTGATTCTGGACTCATTCACCCTCATACACAAACCGAAAACCAACATCAAAGATGAGTCCGTCCGTTTCCACTGTAAGAGTAATAACATATATTATGGCATGGCATGTTTCATACAACTATAAGCTAGCCAAAAAAGTTTCATCTATTTCAGCTTCATGACCCAGAACAAAGTGTGTCGTCATTAAACCGTCTCCAGATCTCCTTCGCCAGCTCTGGACCAACTTTCTGTGCGACGATCTTTGTACCATTGATGTATTCACACACTCCGGGTGGGGAATGTGTACTGTACTGCTTCTTCGTCAAACCACGATATCTAATCCCGCCGATGGCGCGGGCCACGACTCCGGTAAGGTGAGCATCCTCCATGTTGCCGTAGGGCAAATGCTGTGCCGTCTTCAAAATCCTGACTGCCAGGTATGTTGGCATAAGATAGAAGTTGCCCTTACAATGCGGGGGGAATTCAGGGGCTGGATATAAGGCATCGCTCACAGTGTATTTGCCCTGTCTGTGTACTTTGCCGAAAGTGAAAAAGGGCCCCATTATAGTGTTGGTCATATTCACTGACGTCAGTATGTCCAAGAACACCGGAACGTCTGGGAACGTATCTTCATCAACCTTAGCAACAAATTCCACGTGTCTGCAGAACTCGTACACCCACCGAATCCCCATCAACACCTTGTATGTCAGATTGTAGTAATTATCCTTAACAGACACATGGACTATGTCTCCATACATTCTGGATTCCCGTAGCAGTGAGTCGTCATTGCCGCTCAGACCAAGGACAAATATAACTCGAACGGGCTTCCGTAAATATTTACCTCCCCATGTGTTTGTTCTGTTAACGCTGCCCCAGGTTTCTCGGATAGCGTTCCTCAATTCCCAATTTCTCGTCATGGACAAAACGAGGAAAATAAGAAATGGTTGATCGCTTTCACACTGTCCTCTTGTTGCAGGCAAGAACACGAAATCAAGGGGAGTAATTCTCTCCCAACGAGGAACAAAAAACTTTTCAAAACGGACAATGCTGTAGCGATGCATGCCGGGAACCAGATCAGGAACTGTGTCGTTCGATCCTTCTAAGAATGCTCTGCCGTTCCGTTCAATTATCGGAGATTTGACAATCGGGATAATCTTGCGCTGGCTGACAGTTCTCCTCTGGGTAAGGAAGAACCGGTTGGTGACTGCAATGGTTCCCAGTAAGCTCAACGCAAACAACTGCAGCACACGTCTTCTTAACAGAGAAGCGTCACAACGAAGACGGGTCTGCAATACAGAATGGACCGATTGGTATTAAAAGGGTAACATTACGTTATGGCATTAACAAACAAAATTTTGCTTTCTGATGATTAAAGATTATGTTCATATAATGTGACCGAATATCATTAACTGTTAATGTGACAGAAATGCGGCATAAACTTTCAGAACACCTGACAATAAACAATCATGTCAAGTCCGTTTACCCTCTACACTATTTTCTGATTTCACTTTGTAAGTGTAACCCATATTCACAATATGGGAAGACAGTTGGTTATTACCGTAGTCAGCGTGACACATCATTTGCACTGTACTTATCTGCAAAATATCACAACTCAATCTCTGTAATATTCTCAAAGTTTTGTAATTTTGAGAATGTCATGTCCAAATATAAATACCATTGTAGTAGTAGATACTATCATAAAATCAGCTCTTATGGTTTCTGAGAAATGATGTTTTAGGATATTCAGCAACAAGAATAACACGTTTTGCAGTGACCGGAATCTGCCACATCACTCTTCTGCAACTCACGATGACTGAAATTTTCGTTTCCAGATAACAAAAAGCTAAGAAACTTCACCATCAACGCAAGAGAATAAGCAATCCTGACGAAACAGTGAGTATGGTTTTACGCCGCTTTTAGCAATAATCCAGCAATAACACGGCGGGGGACACCAGAAATGTACGCATGTGGGGAATCGAACCTGGGCACCGTTCCTCAAAGTGATTGTAGGGAAAAAAGAATGTGTTGCTTAAGAAGGACACATGCTGTACAAAACTTTTCACGCGAAACATTAGGGGCCTCACTGCAGTAATCATCCAAACGTACAGTACACAATCTTTTCGCTTTACAAAGGGTGCAGCCCAAGGCGTCACCATCTGTAGAATGCCACTGATGTTATCGTCTGATATCGGCACCCCAGTGAAGATTAGCTATAAACATGATAAAACAGTTTCTGTAGTAGTTAGGCTTTATTCATTGTTAACATTGTTTCAAAATTTTCCACCGTACTTGAACACAGCTATTGCATTCTAATTGCAGGTTAATCTATTGAATTTATTTTCAACTATATTTCAATTATATCTTAGCAAAGCATTCATCACTTGATATAATATTATATGGTCTCTGATATGGCCTGTTGATTTTACCTGCTTGTCTTCTCTCATACAACACCTGGTCATGCATCTTAAATACAGTTGTCAGTTTGACACTGAGTTACATTGAGTGATTTACTTAAAATTCTAATGTATGCGATATTTTCACATATGCTTATATCTCCTGATGACAGGTAGAGTAGGCAAGTAAATTGGAACAGACCCCAATTTATTATTTTCAATGTTTTAAGGTAATTGGCGTTTCACAAGTAAATTTTCATGTGAACCTGTGGGTTAACTTTCATTTGCTTGCTTTTAAAAAGCAAGTTAGCATCAATATATACATGTTTGCAAAGTTGCTTATGTTTGACAATAACACCTTTGCTCCCTTCATTGTTGAATTAAAGTTTACCAAGAATGCTAATACACAATTGACTTTTTCCCTTTAATGCATCATATTACATCTACCTACAGGTGCCTGTTGTCCACAAAGATGAGGCCCAGGTGATTCCAGAATACACATGCTACAGGTTAGTGTTTGTTTACTTTTGGTATGAATTTGTCTGAATAATGTCTGGTGTACGTGTTGAACAATCACCCATGATGATTTTGATGGCAAGAATATTGAGCCAAACATTTTCTCTCCAGACAGGGCACAGGCCAAATATGAAAGTAACTGTATACCAACAGAGACAAACATGCAGTGCTTCCAGTACAAACTATTACGCTTAGTGCTGCAGCAATTTTCATTTACACAGGGCTGTCAAAATATTCAGACTTCACTGTTGTTCTTCCATTTTTGGTGCATATACATGTCACCTAAATTATCTGTACAGCAATATTGACAGTATGATTGTCAGTGTGGAAAACATCAACAAATACATACAAATACATGCATCTGATGTAAGTGTTAATCAAGATTCTTCAAAGGAGACCATAATTCTTTACTGTATGTATGTCTATATTTATGAATGTCCATACATGCAGAATATAATATGTTGTACAATAAAACTGAAATGACAACCCAGACTTTGTTGATTTTTGTGTCTGATGATAATTGACACATGAGAATAATAGTATTGTAGAATCTCAATTGTACCATTTAGACTACCATTCAAAAGCTAAATTATTCCTTGTTTCAGTATTTCAAATACACACTGTGTTCACTGACATTGTGAGTCCATTATAATTGTGATGAGCCTTGATGTAAGTTGCAAACCCTTCACACATGCTGGAATAACAAATGTGAAATATTTGTAATCAAATTTAAAGACTCCCACCTTAAAACAATGAACCCGATACCCCTTGCTTCTGGCATCAGATAGTTCAGACCTCAAGTAATGGTTCAATGTGTTTATAATATTCACTCATGCTTAGTTACATTATTTGACAACACCTGAAACACAATTTCAAATAATATTCTTGTGTTTTCAAAATGTGATCTATCATTTAGATACTGGTTATTTGTGTTGAGAAGAGACAGCCTTTAAAAATGGTACAGATTGGGGTGGGGTCCCAAATGATATTTAGAAATATATTGTGCATGCAATATGTCAATTTACTGTACATTTTTGGGATTGAATAATGGCCTAAATATATTTTGGGGATGTGGGGTGTGAGGTGATGATGAATTTAAGGGGATCACCTATTTTGTTATGGAAAGGTAGGGGTCATCAATTTTGTACACATGTACTAGGGGGTAAGCAACTTTGTACATAATAAAGATTATGCTTAAAATTATGGGGAGATGAGGGTAATTGATTTTGAATATGACATATGCAAAGGGGGTGTCACTTACTTTGTACATGAATTGTAGGGAGGTCATTCACATTGTACATGCTTCTCCATAAAATCATCACCAACACCCACCCCATTAATTATGAACGGTCCTTAAATATGTGTGTAGAATCTATAAACCGGAAGTTGTGAGCTTATTTATCGTGTGAATGGGTGTAATATATTTTGTTGAACACACTGTCAGCGAGTCGTTAATTCGATGAAAATGATTTATGTTTCAAATCCTTTCGAAAACGATCCGTTGCCATAGCATTTCCTCTTTCCATTGCATCCCAAAGCGTTATAGGCAATGAGAATAGGTTGTTTACGTGAACGAAAACTGAAGCACTTATGTTGTGCGCGTAATCAGGTCAGTGCTAACGTTATTTGTGTAACGCTAATTTCAGTGTACACTAATCCTATGTTCTAACAACTATTACGACGCCATTAATGCTCTGTTTAATGTGACAAAATGGCGAGTTAATGGTTTGACGAATTTACAAAGCAACTACTCAATAAGAAATTCCGAGAAACGGCAATATTACAATAACTGCAGTACCGTTCTATTAGCATTATTTTTCGTCCAGACACGCTAGTTCTTCGTGCTTTGACAACAGTCGTCAGTCGGGACAACTTCCAGATTCCGTAATTCGTAATATAAGAACCACAGAGTTAAAAGTAGGTTTAATGTCGATTTAAGTTTAGGCTTGGCCGATAGGCAGGCCTACATGCCAGTATCAGAGTGACAGCTGCTGTTGGACCGTAACTACCGCAGCGCTCCAAGCGGGCAAGGGTGCGCAACTCCAGGAATGTTCCCCATTGCGTAGATCGATGCTCATGCTGTTGATCACTGGATTGTCTGGTCCATACTTGCTTCTTTACTGTAGACCGCCGCCATTCAGCTAGAATATTGCCGAGTGCGGCGTTAAACAACAAACCAGCCAACCACACGTGATCCAGTTACCATTCCAACCCTTACCATTCCTGGCAACAGAGCCGTATCTGCAGGAACACTTCGACAACGTCCACGCAAAACGCCGTATCCGTACAAAAGGCCCAGTCCGACGGCCAATTCTGAAGCCACAACATCGACGTACAGTAGAGCAGACAGCAACGGCGATGGGGAGCATGTGAGAGGAGAAGAGTTTTCGTCGATGTACCACGTTTCCTCCTTCACAGATCTGACGGTCAGAGACGTGTCAACAGGTGAAGAACGTACTTCGGGTCGTGTATTCTGGAAGCGTACCGTAGAGTTTCAGGACGTCATTATCTGGCATGGGTTAACAGCTGCCTCAAACACGCCGATGTTTGAAGGGGAATGTGAATGCGGTGAGGTAGCGGGATGAGACTTTTAGACTGGCTGTTTTACCGTTTTCGCAACAGAACGGTCCAAGAGTGACATTTAAACAGGTTAACGTCAGACTATGGCTCGAGCTGTTCAGCAGTATCTCCACAGTAACAATATTAATGTGTTACCCAGACCCTCTAAATCCCCTGAAAACGTCTTGGAGGAAATGGAGCGACGTTTACGTCATCCGAATCTTCCAGCAACGCTGCAGGAACTATGACAAATCCTTCCTCGGATATGGAATGGTATTCCTCGGGGCTGTCGGCGACCTTTCGAGGCCTCGACGAGGCGAAGGTGCTTGAGAATATCATCGTTGTTGAGTCTAATAAGCATACACAGATGCGCTGTTCTTATGGCCTTCTGGTCGTTACCATACCTTAAAACATTTGTATTTCTAAGTAACGATCTAAATAATTTCATTCGCGGCAGCAAAACAATACCACTGATTATATTGTGTGCCACAATAACTTTTATTGTTGATAATATGATGTATTCTGAGTTGTGACTGAATTTGCTTTATCTGCAGACATCATATATGCTGATACAAATGCATTCAAACCAGTGGTGGCCAATCCTGCACCGCAATGTACCCCTTTGATAAATGTTGCGTCCCTTAGATAACTGTTTTTCTTGCACAGCAAATATTAACCAAACAATGCAATATCCATATTATAACGGACCGCCTCCGTGGTGTAGTGGTGAGAGCGGAAGGTCGCGGGTTCGATCCCCGACCGCGTCATACCAAAAGACGTTAAAACATGGTACTTGTTGGTCCCTGCCTGGCGCTCGGCATTAATGGGTACAAGGACTGGCCGGCTCGGAGTCAGTCTAATGTGTCTGAGTGGGGTATTCATGCTTCACTGCGGCATGGTATCTCAGTGGGCTAGCACTATAAAACCAGCTTAAGTCTGGGCTAGTACAAGCAGCCACACATACACATACACACGCATGCACGTCGTCATATGAGCGAAATATTCTCAAGCACGACATTAAACCCAATTTCACCTCACCTCACCATATTATAACGATGTAAGGAATATTCCACCATGTCATGTAAATAAGTTTCAAAATTGAAGAGCTGATGGATATCGTCATCACATTTTAACAACAGCACCGAAACTTTCACACACGTGACACAAGGATGTTGAGTGAGTTTGTTGTTGTATGCCGCACACAGCAATATTCCCGAAACATGCGACGGCCTGTAAATCATCCAGTCTGGATGAACAATCCAGTGATCAACAGCATGAGCATCGATCAACGCAATTGGGATACAGTGACATGTGTCAACCAAGTCAGCGAGCCTGAGCACCCGATCTTGTTGGTTGGTCGGATCTTCCTTGTTGTGGCTTCGTACGACCAGCAGTGGCTGTGCTGGTGATACGACCTACGGCAGGTCCTCGTCTAGTTAGGAGATAACGGGAATATGGGAGCCGTGACGAAGGACCCTATGTGAAGAGAGGTAATTCTCACCGGAAATGGATGTGTTTTTACGCAATTGGGATGGCATGTGTCAACCAAGTGAGCGAGGAAGCCGATCCCCGTAGCCTCCCCTTACACTGACTGACTGAGTTTGGTTTTACGCCGCTTTTAGCAATATTCCAGCAACATCACGGCAGGGGACACCAGAAATGGGCTTAATTGTACTCATGGGATTCGAACCCGGGTCTTCGGCGTGACGAGCCAACGGTTCAACCATTAGGCTACCCACCGCCCCTCCCCTTACAATAAGCATGGGTTGCTGAAGATCTTCACGGTTTACAAGGCTGTTGAGAACTGCATTACCTTATTATCACGGGCATGTGGGATAGCCAAGTGGTCTATGCGTTGCCTCGACGACGGCCTGGGTTCGAATCCTCACATAAAATGTGTGGAGCCCCAACTTCCTTTGTCCCCGTCGTGAAACTCTTGAGCTATTACTAAAAGCGGTACAAAACCATATTCACTCACTAACTTAATCATTAAACCATATTTCAACTGAGTTAACAGTTTTATACGCATTTTGGTTAGGTACCGTTCATGTTTTATGGCTAGCAAACGGGGATGGGGATGGGGATGGGGTAGGGATTGTTTGATGGTTTTAAGGGGATGGGTCACCCATTTCTGTCTTGGGGATGTAGGAAGTCATCAGTTCTGTTCAGATCAGATGCACTTGTATATGGGTCAGTAGGTTACTGTCACTTACTTTGTACATAACTTTTTGGGTGGGTCATTCACATTATACACGCTTCTCCATAAAAATCATCACCACCACACCACATCACACTACCCTTGACATAAATTATGGTGAGGTCCCTTAAAAGCGATGAAAGTCCGATGCTTACCACTGTGGTGAAACTCACGAGCACATTAGGACCAGCGTAGGATTCGATCACTTACATTATTCAACTCAACAAGAATCATGCTTGTACAAACTAAAACAAACATGACCAATGGGCGTGTCTCCCTGGTGAAATTCCTATAAAATTGTAAGATATATTTACCTTGGCCATGGCTTCCGAAGACAATAAACTGACTGTTAAATCAATCGATTACTTAACATGTGATTGCCTCATGTCAACACAACGCAGGTGGATGAAGATGTGTTTGAGAGTTATCGTCTAACTCCAAGAACTGTTTCAGTGACTATACAGCGCAATACTAATAACTGTGTTAATCTACCAGGAGAGACAATGTCTTATAAGAATTATAAAATGCCCGTAGACACTAACTGAATAAATCTCTGTTGCGACAAGGTGTATATATATAACCTGCCCACCCCCATCGTAGAAATGAACTGATCTAAACACATGGCCTATAGGGTAACTGAAAAGAAGAATTTGCATGCGCAGTACGCTTGTCAAGCGGCCTTCAGTGACTGCAGGCATATGTGAAATTGACAAGTCATGTTCAAAACAGCTGTTCACTGTGACAACTTCACCAGTGGTTCAACTGCGAGCAGAATTGTCCTACAAAGACAGAAAGTTACTAAATCTGTATGTATATTAAAATTGTTTCTTCAGTTGGTTTGACACCTCCGGAGTGTGAGATATTCATATCCGCCCCTGGCCAGTTTTGTCTTGAGCGAATTGGTCTTCAGAAATCCATGCCCGGTTGTCGTAACATCATCATCCAACCCTAACACACACGCACGCACGCACGCACGCACGCACACACACCACCCGCCCCAACAACAACAAATTAAATAAATAAGAATAAATAAATTAAAGGATAAATAAAATTTAAAAATATGTTTTCTTCATTCCAAGACCGCCGCCTCCAGAGAACGCGAGAAATTGTAATAACGTTCTATAGAACGATGACATGAGTCAGCCAAGTCAGCGGGGATCACCACCCGATCCCGATAGTCGCCTCTTACGACAAGCATGGTTTGCTGGAGACCAATTCCTACCGACAGACACCAAGAGAATAGTCTGTTCAAATGCGAATAGGGCATTATTTTTTATGTATTTCAAGTAGCCACCAAATTCTGAACATGGGTCGGTCGGTCGGGGAAAAATGAAATTGGTTACCCTATAGGCCATTATCTGAATAATTTTCTTGATTCTCATTTATTGTAATTCTGATTTTGCTGTTGATCACTGGATTGTCTGGTCGTGATTATTTACAGACCGCCGCCATATAGCTTGAATATCGCTGAGTGCGGCGTAAAACAACAAATCAACCATGATTTCAGTCACAAGTGTGTCTGGTCCAGAATCAATTATTTACAGACGTGGAGTGAGTGAGTCAGTTGAGTTTTACGCCGCACTCAGCAATATTCCAGGTATATGGCGGCGGTCTGGAAATTATCGAGTCTGGACCAGACAATTCAGTGATCAACAGCATGAGTATCGATCTGCGCAATTGGGAGCCGATGACGTGTCAACCAAGTCAGCAAGCCTGAAATCTCTGAATACAGAATGCCATTTAGAATGTGGTCAAATGTAACACATGTGGAAGTCGCGATGGCTGAGCGGGTTGGGTGGCTGACTTTGGGTGCTTGCGATTAGGTGCCTGACCCTGAGGGTGTGGGTGCCACCACCGGCGCAAAGCTGCCTTCAAACATGCCAGATATTGTACAGGCGGATCCAGTGCTTGCACTCGGCGTCCAAGAATGGCCCAGACAGGATCCAATGGGTTCAGATCCGGGCTCAAAGCAGGCCATGGAAGTCGGGAACGAAGTGGCCTGGCGTTTTCATCCATAAATACAGGGCGAGTGGCTAATGGGTGGTTATCAAAATGTGACACAAGAACAGGATCGTGATATTTCATTTTTTTTTTTGTCCTGATCAACCCATCTCGCCACGAACCGCAAGGTTTCGGCTTTGCTACTAAAACAGTTTATAATATCGGAGACAGAGATGTAAATTTCCACAGAAATCAAGGGTTTTGGGCATAAAATAAAATAAAATGTAAAAATAAAAATCCATCCTCCCGCCCGACCTATATTTCTTTTGAAAAGTGATGAGAAAAAGAATATTTTTTTGTGGGAACAGCTGGGGAGAGATTATTGTGGGGAGGCAGGATATGGTGCACAGAAGAATAATAAGATTAAGATTGCTTGGTGATGACTTGGTGGTAAGCAGCGGGGATGTAATATCGTTGGTCCCTGTTTATGGCCGATTGGAGCCTCTTGATGTGGATGGCTTCTAGTAGTTTAAATTTCCTGATCTTGTATACATAGTGGGTGTGATTGCTGGTGAGTACATTGATGCTTTTTCAAAAGATGCTGTGGCCTGGGTGAATTTGGGTGTGGTCTGAGATGGCGGATTTCGAGTCTTTGTTCTTTCTTCTTTCAAACCCACAATCATTGCATCTCTCCAGTTTGAGTTCCGGTCTCCTAGTCGATTGGCCAGCCAATGCTCCCTGATGAGACGAAGCCATTAAAGTCTGACGTTTTAAATCAATAAGAAAATGACATTATTATAGTAGTCTTTTGTAACACAACACACAGGGACCGGGATGAGAATAGTTTAGTGGTTAACGTGTTCGATTGTCACACCGAAGGCATGGGTTCAATTCTCCGCAATCTACACTTATATTTCTATTACGATGCTTAATCGGTGAAAAGCCATACTCAACATTTCACACGTGGAACTTATTTAAGTCCTAGCTTGAAGGTCTCCTTTAAGCTGAATGCATTGGGACAAAGTCTCAAATGGGGAGGTGTTTGGGGATTTAGATCAACCAACAAGTAGCCATATGATTTCTGGATAGCCCTTTGAAACGTCTCCATGAAACGGTCTGTGTTACCTGGATACATTTGCCTCGCCAAAGTCATGATGGGTTGTTGATCGATAGGATTGTTGAACAGAAGCAGATAATGGCAGTTTCTTCGTTGTGTGGGATCCTTACTGAAATACAAATTCTGCTTCAAGGCTATCACTGAGAGATTACGATAATGACTTCCTTCCGTAAACAGATCTGTAATGCGAGGATCTTTGCTCGCTGTCGACATTAAGTCGTCGAGGATAACCACATTCACCACATGGGGGTCCAGAAACGCGTACTTTTCGAGATCAGAAGGAATGTCTTGATGAAATCCAACATAGGGATAAACATGGGTTTGAATGGTGTTATACAAGGGCTGCCATCGTTTGTAGAGTCAAATAATACGTTCAGGATAAGGTTTAATGTTCATCCGTTCTAGAATCTGTTTCACTAAGAACGTTTTCCCACAGGAGGTGGGCCCTGAGACAATCATGGTGAAGGGGTGTATCGGTCTAAATTCTTCCAAAGCACCCACATGTGGTGGCACTGGTTGCATCATAGGTGATGGTACTTGTGGTGCTCGTGGTGGTGGTGGTGGAGCTTGTGGTGCTCGTGGTGGTGGTGGTGGTGCTCGTCGTGGTGGTGTTGGTGGTGGTGGCTGCGTTGCTCGTCTGTGTTGATTCCTGAGATGTCTAAGCATGGCATCCCTTCTGGAAAACGTCTGATAGCACACAAGACACGTTGCTGACTGCATGGTGGTCCGCGTATAAATGGCAGCGAACCTGTCTACTAGCTGCTTTTATCTAAAAACTCGTCTTCCGTTTCTTTGTGCGACTCTGGGAGGAAGTAATTATTGTGGCTTCTTTTTCCCCGTTCTCCTGCATCTGAATACGTGCTTTGGCCTGTTGAACGACTTGTTTGGTTGGAGACGTGAGTGCAAAAGTCTCTTTAGAATGCTGTAGGTCCATCTTTACCCCCTTGTTTCTCATAATAGATCACATAATCATCCACGTTAGTAAAAGGATTGGGATATCCTTTAGCCTGCAAATAGTAATATTTGGTCCATTTCTTAGGATAGTCCAAATAGGGTCTCCCTGTTCATTTTCTTGTTCAGAATGAATACTGACTCTCACACAGAGGTTTCAGATGAAGTGTCACTATCACGGGTCCACGGCTAAATGAGGCTAAATCACCGTTTCTGAACTTTATATAGATGACTGCTAGCCCTAATTCTAACTCCTAAAAACATGTTATTAGCAGAGCGTGGTTTCGATCCACGGTCCTCTGGGTTATGAGCCCATTGCGTTTCCACTGTACCACTCTGCTCTCCCTTCACCTACCTTTTGTTAGGACTTTTTATACACCACATCAGCCAATGACAACCAAAATTGATTTATTCTCAAATAGTCACAAATACACACAGTATTGTACAATGAACATCACACTGTTACACATGTAAATCTACATGACTACCCCAACGGACCACCTCTTTCTGAGGTAATTCCTACCAGGACCAATACGGACAGTTTGGAGACAATTTTTCATTTTCGACCCAAGGATCATCCTCTACGTCCCAGTTCTTGAGAACAACACCACATTGAACACACTTGCAAGCGTCCCTCTGATTAAGAACACAAATCCTGCCTGGGCCATTTGACTAGGACTCTGTTTCATCTGCACAGGCCAAGACTGAAAGGAATTCAGCCGTTCTTGAACTGAGTTCAGGGTCTGAGAGGGATACTGTCCATACATAGGTACCCATCTAGATCATCATGACCATGAGGATACTCTATCTTGTCTGTCTCTAGTCCCAGCAATGTCATGGCTTGTATCTCTCCGCATTCCTCCAATGCTTTACAGAAGAGGGTGTAAGCTTGGGGTCCTCGCCGGGGAAGGGTATCTAATAAAGCTCTCACCCGGTCAAAGGAGGTTTGTGGTTTTCGATAATCTCTGCCTTCATGAAGATGGTAAGGACTTTAAACTGCATCAGTTTGTCCACCACCTCTTCTACGTGCTTTATAGCTTGCACTAGACCGGAGTGATTCCTCCTGAGGATATCACGGTGAACGGCTTCCATCTTCAAGATAAACAGCCAACAGAGAGAGAGAGAGTTGTATAGCTGGATGTCGTCTGTGTAGTCAGGGATGAAGTGATGCATGATCCGAAATGAAGGGGTTTATATATTTTCATTCCAAAACCGGATTAAACCAGTTGATCTATCCGTATGCCATGATGTCATTCTCTTTCGGTTGCTATGCACCTGATCTAAAAATACCTCTGGGAAAAGTTGTATATCCCAAGGTGAGCTCAGTACAAGGTTATTGCCCCTGTGAAATGAGGTCAGCCAGGTGTTCGATGAT